CTATCTTTCAAGTTGGATCAAAATGCAAATCAAATTTAAAATCGGTTTAGTATTTTAGGAGTCCATCGCGGACAAACATGTGACACGATTTTTTATATACCTATAAAGGTAAATGAATTGGAAAATGACAATCATACGTTATATGAATGTGTTCAAACACAAGTTATAAATATAATATCCACATTATTAGTTACCTTTTAGGTACATACTCAAAACGCAGAGTTATTAAGTAAAATTTCAAATGAAACAAGGTTAAAAAGCCAGTAAGTGCTTGGTTCTATTACTTATTACGAAATTTAAAATTACCTACCGCAGGATGAAGCTAATTATAATTTATATTTTCTTAGTTAAATTATGTTGAGAACTGTGAAATTAATACAACGCTGCCAATTTTAAACCACGCTGTATTTTAATTGTCTTCTGAAATTCATGAATTTAATTTATTTAGTAATCAGTAGATTGCCTTACTGGCCCAGTTACCAGATTTTGTTAATCGGTAATCTAAATAAGGATATTTTTTCTATTTGTACAAATTGTGACTAAAAAAAACATATATTATTATGGTGATAATCATAATATGTAAATACTACTAGTACTTAAATTTTGAGTACTACGAATATATAGATGATACTAGGTCATGTCAACAATTAACTTACGAAACAGTAATTCCTTAAAAATAATTTCAATAGCCACTGAGCGATTGTTATTGGTTAACAACTTCGAAAATTAATAACAGTATTCAAAGTTTGCCACTAAAAGTTGATTTATTAGCAAGTTTACAACCTACCACAAATTTTATTGGTATTCAATCGAAGTCTTGTAAATATAATTAATTTATATAACAAGTTAATAAACACGATTGTGATAATTACTTACCGTTGTTTATAATTAATGTTTGAGGAATTCCCTGGTTGATTGTTTCGCAAAACTGCGTACCTGCTTACAGCCGGAGCATAGAGTATGTTGGAATGGAGCGCAAGTCGAGTGCTAATATACAACAATTTACTAATATTATAATATGTATATATGGATTTTTGGATGTTTCTTACTCAATAACACCAAAACGGCTGGACGGTTCTACATGAAATTTGGCACAGGCATAGGATACACTCCGGAATAGGACATAGACTCCTTTTTATCAACGTACCACGCGGGCGAAAGCTAGTATGCATATATATTGCCGTTGAATATCTAAAAACATTTGCCCTTTAAGGAGCCATCGGTTTAATTCACTAAAACTTACCATCAAATCATGTTAAATGTTGTATCGTATCATCAAAGCTGTTCTTCCTCATTTGACAGTGTAAGTACGATACATCTATTTGCATTTTTGTTAGTTATTTTATTAAATTTGTAATGGTGGTTTGAGACATATTTCCAGTATATAAATAGGATAGTTACCTAACTACTGTACTAATGAGATTAAAAACGAACGACTAAATTTAAAAAAGATTGTATAGGAACTAAAAACCTTATTTACTCCTGGAAACTCATGATTAGTATTTACACGTGCAGTCAATTTCTCTGTTGGACCCGTTTATACGTCTAGGAAAAACTATCAATAATTTATTTTAACTACCAAACGATCTAAATATCCCATTTATATGTATGTTCACATACATATACCTAGTACTAAAAGCAACCTGACTAAAATAAAACAATTTATGTTAGAAGAAATCTTTATTGTCACTCCTCATTTATCTAATTTCCAAGTTAATGTCTGTCGTAAAAGTAACATTCCGCTGTCTCAGAAGTGGCTATCCACTCACAGGATGATATCTATTTAGGGAAATGTCAAATGCACATAACCGTGGCTTAATGCTCCGTGAAATGAGTATATAAATTAATAAGGTCATTATTTGGTTAAATGCCCCTGTTTCCCCCGTAGGCAAATAGTGGTAGCACCGCAGAATTTGCAACCCTCGACATCCTCTGTCAATAATCAAAATACAAGGACAATATTGAATGGAATACTTCTATAAACAAACGCACCCTATTTCGATCCCCCCCAGGGCTATACGTATAATGCTTTCTTCGCCAATATTGATGTTGAAGGATTTTTTAATTGGCTTCTGGTTTTTATCCTACTTTTTTACTGAATATCTACGTAGACTGGTGAAGTCTAGCGATTGTAAACGTTTACTTAACACCTATAGGCAAATGAAATTGATTTTAGATTTCTAGCCCTACCTGTGTTTTTTTTTTATTCTATCCATAACTATTTGAGGTTTTTGTCCATCAGGCCAATCCTATGGTGTCTTGTACTACCAACAAACATTGTATAAGAAATAAAAAAAACTAATAAAATTAATTATGAATAGTCCTGATCCTACGTCATATTCAACTGACACAATCATATTGCTAATTTCGAATTTGACTGAGCCAGCATAGATTATATCAACCCTATTACATAATTGTTATCTTGGACTTTTAAATTAAAAATTGTGTTCGTAATCTCAATTAGGTGTCTCAAAACAACTATGTTTAATACATAAACATATCTGTCTACCCTAGACAAGAATAGGCACGTGTATGTTGTTTCCTTATAATGAATTCATTACACAATCATTGTCAGTAAATTACGTGAAAATTGTATTCAAACATTCCCTTTGAAACAAAACTTTAAGTCTAAATCAAAAAGTTAAAACTCGAGTTGTTGAAGAATTAATGAGTATTTAGGCAAGTTGGTAAAAATAAAAATGAAACATCCGTATCCTCATTAAACTTATCTCTGGAAGCTATGCAAATCTATCAGGTAGGTACTTCCAAAGTAATCAGTAAACATTCACAAAAAAATCATTAAAATTCCGTACCTTCTTTTTGAAGTCTCGGTGTGAAAATCATTACTAGCGTTCTCCTTTTTCTTTTCAAATAATCACAATTTTTCTTCAGATGGGTCTTAAAGAAAATTACTTTCGGTTCACTTGCTACATTTTAGTCGACTTATTCTTATTTCGAACAAATATATATCTGAGGGACTTTTATTCATATTTGACTCTTCAGGTGTGTAAGCAAATCGAACATTGTAATCACGATTTTGTTATTCAAATGTCGGTCGTTTCTCTAAAGGATCAATGAACTTAGGAACTTCAGTGTGTCTTATAAATAAAATAAATAAAAATGGCGTACTCAATCTATTATTTATTAAATCTTTGGCTATCTGTTTGTACATCATATTCTACGATTCACGTAAAAACATATATCTACACATCGTTTTCTTCAAAATGTTTATATATCAAGTTACAACCTTAGGTTTCAGAATGATGAATGACATATATAATAATAACTGGTATGCGAACTACAAATTAAGAAATCCATAGTTAATTTCATCTGCGAATATTTAAATAGAATACAATTCTTGATTTACTTGTATTGTAACAACTTATCGCCTTTTCAACTTAATTGTAAAAGTAAGTGGAAAGTAACACTGAAATAATTGATAGCTAAATAATCATATTTTTGTGTTTTTATTTTGTGAAATGTTTCGTATCGTACTACAAATAATGAATATTTTAATATAAAAGCTTTAACACAAATATTACACTGTCCTTAGTGGCGAATTGTTAGAGAAACTAAACTAAAATTAAAGAAATAACAAATATATTTCGATTTTGGATCACCATATCCAGAAACAAGGCTCCCTACAAACAAAGCAACTTGAACGTTATTGTCATTTGATTGTTTCTTGTAATTGTAATTTACAACAAATCTGGTATGTTTACTTATCAAGATTATAAACTGATTGTTCTTCATTTCGGAACTTTCTTAAAAACATCGATTGAAAACTAGTCTACAACTGTATTGGACTGTGGTACCAAATAACAAGAGTTTCGCGCTGCTTTGTTTGCGGTAGGCCTTTTTTCACAATTCGTAATAAAAGTAGCTTAACAAATGTTTAATCAAACTTCAAAAACCCACAGCTCTTAACAAAGACTATCTCAGAGCTTTTGACCTTTATATTCATTTCGGTATCAGCAAAAATATTTGCATACGAGCCACAGATCTTATTTGTTCCATACTCGGATAATTATAATGTGTGTTATTATTAAAAATGGCACCGAATATTACATACGCAATCACAGTAAGAGCAAAACAATCGAAAACATTACAGTATACTTGTGTGCTAATCGTAATGATTGTCAAGATACAAGTCTAAGTTTTAGTATGAAACAATATACTTTGGCACTTTAGTAGAGCTCGTTACGCAATAAATTGTTTACAACGTTATAATTACAAGGTTTACAGGGAAGACATGATCTGCTTTCACGATATTTTGCGCAATACATTTTCGGTCTCAAAGTTATAACCAATCATCCTACACCACGTATCTTCTTACCGATATGGTGATTTAACATTACGTATTGCGTTATACCATAATGTACAGTATGTTGTAGCCTAACCACAAAAAGCCCATACGAACGGCGCAGTAGATGAAGTCAGCTAGGTCAGGTATCTAAATTAAAATCACAATTCTACGACGACTTTACATAAAAATAGGGCTATTAACCTACGATCACCATAAGTTAACAAAACAGTTTATTTACATCGTCCAAACAATTCATAGCCCCGCTGCAATGTTAACCAATCTATTTGTACTTATTTCATAAAAAAATATGTACGTCCAATTATATCACAAAACGCCGTCCATACCTCGTGCAGCCGACCGCTTCGAACTGGAACAAAAGAGCACCGTATCTACAACACTGTCATACTAAATGTAATAACAATCTATACACAGCACACCGCCCACTGTTTGAATTATATTTTGGCCGAAATATCATACGCTTGGCTGGAAGCAAATGAGGTTTACATTTAAGTTAGTCACAGCCTTTGATAACATTCTATTGATCTCTCAATTAGTATGTTTACTTTATAATGAGGTAAGGTATAGTTTGGAGTTAGTTGTGTACAAACTACTAATTAATAATACTTACATTGCATTAGTTCTACGTAAGGAGAGAATCGTATTCGAAGGGCGTCGGGTCGGCTGCCCGCAGGTGTCACCATAACACCCCTCCCGAGATATTGGACACCTCTATTTGGTCCTCGGCTTCTGTATTCACGACGGACACGTTTCTTCTTCTGTATCTGAGGCGAAAACTCACCCATAAAATCAAAGACATCACTATTAGTCCACAGACTGCTACTGTACCTATATACTGAGCGTAGCTCTTATCAGCCGACTGATAGGGTGAATATTCAATCTTATACTTTGGGTGAGAAGCCTCCATTTCGTGTACAGTCACGTTTTCTGGTCCGGCCAAATTCTTACTAAAACTGGCGCCAGATTTAGATTCAATGACAATATTTTCTGTTTTCTTTGTAACGTTGAGGGGCGTATTCAAACGTTTCCCCGATCTATTCTTTATATAAACATGACCGTCATCGTCTTTCATGTCTTTTTTATAATTGCGTGTCGATACAGAGGAAAATGGTTCTATGTCTAAAAATCTGTGATCGATGTTCAGCTGGTCGTTCTGGAGCTTATTTTGATCTAATATTTTTGATGACTCTCGTGCTTTCACAATTGTTGATTCATTCATATAATCATTCATGGGGATTTTATTTTCGTTTCTTTCAGCTCCTTTAAAATTTTCCTTGACTAATTCTGGCAAATTGTCTCTTTTATCTAAATTGCTCATCGTCGTATTCTTTGATTGTGAAGATTTCATATTTGTATAATCAAATTTATTCTTATTAGTCGTGTGTTTAAATGGTTTTTCAGTTTTATTATTCAAGTATCCATAGTACCTTAATAACTTGTTTATCATTTCCGTACTATACAAGTTGACGGGCGGGAGGCTGTCACTTATAGTGAACGTTTCCGGGAATGTACAGTTATATTTAGTTATCTCCACTTTAGCTTCAGAAGTAGAGTAATAACAAGTTTCACTACTGGACAAACTCTTGTTCCAGTTCATCCAATCTTTGAGCCATAACTCAGCGCTACAATTTATATTGTTGCCGTGTAATCTTAAAGTTTTCAGTTGTGCCAAGTAAAATAACAAATCATTTCTGATTTCCGACAAATTATTCATTCTCAAGTCTAAATATTGTAAATGAGAAAATGCGGCAAGTGCCGCCGAGTCAGCCAGTAACTGTCTGGCCAGTCCCGGGCTGGACTGGAGATGTAACATCTGAACGCTTTCTGGCGACGACATTGGAAACGAGCCATCTCGTTCTGGCACCGATAAGTTTAAGTAACACAGTCTTAGATCTCGCAGAGACAGCGGCCCGTCAAATGTACTCCACGACAATGTTTGTATCGGATTGTTTGACAGATCTAACATCTCTAATGACAGAAGGTCGTCAAATACGTGGTCTTGAATATAATGAATATCGTTATTTTGTAACAGTAATATCCTTAAGTTAGGTAAGTTTTTCAAATCGGGTATTGTCAGATTCTTAATTTGGTTATTATTGATAGAAAGATATTTTAATTCATCAGGTAACGATCTGGGGATAGTCGTAAGAAGATTCTTGTTAATATTTAAAAATAACAGCATTTCCAATCTGCCCAAAGAATCGTCTTCTACTGAAATAACTTTGTTATCCGAAAAATCGAGTGACTGTAGTAGAGGATAACTGTCAAAATCCCCGCACCTAACGGCGGATATCCTATTTCCTACTAACGATAGGAAGCGTACTGAGTGTGTGAATGCTTCGGGTACTTGGTGTAATCCTGTTCGAGACGCATCTATCTGTTGCAGTCTCCGTCCAGTGCCGACCAATAATTGGGTATCCAATTGTGTAATACCCAAATGTGGATTATCAGTGAGTAATAACCGCGCTAGATTGGGTAATAACTGCAGAGCACCCGGAGCTAGCTTCCTCAGGTTATTATGTGACACGTCTAGGTGTTGTAGCAGCCAATTGTTGAAATAATTTTCATGGATAAACTCGAGATTATTTCTGCTTAAATTCAGATGCTGGAGATTCTTCAAAGGTGTAAACACATTTGTTAACATAGTCAAATTGTTCTCCGATAAGTCCAAAGTTTCTAATTTTGACAACCCAAAGAAACTTTCCTCAAATATATTAATAATCTTATTCTTACTTAAAATAAGTTTCCTGAGATTCAGGAAGTTATTAAAGACTCCCTTGGTAACGTATTGCAAGTTATTGGAAGATAAATCAATTTCTCTCAAGTTCTGTCTTTTGATGTTGATCCTTATTTGAATAAAACTGTTATTTCTTATTTGTAGAGAGTTCGTGTCTAATAACGGCAAGTCGATGTAAACAATACTCGCATTACAAGATGTGCCGAAATGGGCGGTAACGAGGGCTACGGTTTTATTTGTGTACTCTTGAAGCAAGTCCGCCTCTTTGTTACAACACACCGCTAGCTGGTGGTGCATGTCTGAGTGGTCCGTCAATGTTATGTTGTACGAACATTGTTGACACAGAGTTGTGTTGGATATACAATCACAACTATCTATACAAATAGATGCCAAATGAGTTACTTGCCACCAAAATATAACCGTTAAAAATAAACACTGTTTAAAAAATTCTGCCATTTCTGACAATATCGTCTAAACCTGTTTAAATCTAAGCCGGATTGAAAGTTAGATGGTATTGCAGTTCACATTTGGGACACATATTCCTCTGAATCACATAATCACTTAAAGAGTTTATTTGGCATGAAGAAAACATCTTGTAAGTTAACACAGGCACTAAACTCAAGTAAGCGCTGTTTCAGTCACATTGGCGTCACTCATTGTGATAGTTGGTGGAGCACTGGTGGGCACTGGAGAGCGAGGCCAGAGATTCACTGTGCACCACGTGACACTGGTACGTCGGTCGTCGGTAGTGTTGCGCTCGTGTCGCGCTCGAGTCGCGTGAGGTGTCGCGGCCGGGCTGGGCGCACACTGCCGGCGCCGCCGCGTCTGTCTGCGAACTGTGCGATGCGAGCCGAGAGCCGCGGCGCCGGCGCCCTACCGCCGCTTTTACATCCCTCACAACCTCATTTTTATATAGTCAACTGACTTCCACACCACCACTATTTATGTCATACTCGGCGCTCCTTAATACGTTATTTTAAGGACGCGAGTATTTGTAAGTGTGCGTTATATTTTTCGCTACGCCTGAGATTGCTCCCTGTTGGGTTTTCATGGAAGACACTATGATTTAAACGATAATTTATTGTTGCGCTATATTATAATAGTTTAATATTCAAAACAAATAGTACAATATTTGTATAGGTACAGTAATTGAACTAAATCTATATTCGGTACAATAATTAAACTAAAATATTGAGCAATAACTGGCTGAAATTAAATGTGTGGCTTACCTAACCCTAAAAAATTTGTTACAATGAATAATTGAACATAATTTTAAGTTGTGAATTTCGGAAACCGAACTCTTTGAGAACAGATGATATGTTATAAGTAAAATTAATGTGTCGAGTAAATTTTTAGGTAGAAAGTAAGGTTTGTAATTGGTGCGTGGGTAATCCAAGTGAGAAGTAAAAGGAATGGCTCGAAGCCTACGTTATTTAACCCTTTATACCTACTGTTTCGAACATCTTTACGGAACCTTTGACTAGCATTTCCATGAATTGCTCCCGCAAGGCTTTTCGAAGGGTCTCTTTATTGCACTCCTTAATTTGGGTTATTTGAACTTTTCTTGTCCCTCCCTGAATAACTTGAGGAGGGAAAACATCGTATCTCAAGCACCTCTAACATGTTGTGTTGGACACCTAATGCCAAAGTTATGACTTTTTTTGCGTAGGCTCGTGCCATCAAACAGAAGTGGCCGCGCTCCACGCTCACATCCAATTCGTGCTAAGTCGCATGGTCATACAAAAGAAAATAAATCTTAGTGTTATAAGCATAAACCTCAAATGACAATCTTTTAATTTATGTCTTATTATTTACTAAGATTATTATCTTATAAATACATATCCGTAATTTCTTAAAATAATTGATTGCTTCAGTATAAATTACTATGTAAATAACATGCCCTACGTAAGCTCTTTCGATTCTACGAAGCAGTGGAAGATGTATGTGAATAATAAACACAATTTCACCAAATTATATCTTTCGTTAGTACCTCGGGAAATTTTCCAGTAGATTATAGATACATAGCCTGCTTTTAGTCCAAGTAATACTAGTACACAAATAACTATATTTTGAATCCATAAAGTAGGACTTTATAATATTTTATTAAACGGGAAATTTCTCAATAACTCTGTAATAGACATACCACCAGTGTGAGTCGGTTATATTTCCGCAGTATAGGAACCAGTAACGTCTATATTTTCTGTATATTAGATTATTGCATCCAGAATATTCCCCATCTATTCTGGGGCCACCTTTCCCGAATACATTTATTAAAGTGACCCTCAGCTTAGAGGCCGCAAGATAAATCATAGTCAGGAAATGGCGGGTTTTCGCGGTAAACCGAATAAAAAGGAAAAACCTCTGTACCTTATAACATATGCGTATAATATATACAAATGTACATACATGTGTAGGTATTCATATATATAATTCTAATGTAATTATTACACAGATCTGTATTTATTTCGGGTTTTAGTGACAGCAAATGTCGTAAACGACGCCGACGACGAATTTTAAAATTAAGTTGCTTATTATGATTAAGATAATCATTATAATATTTCAATTTCTCAGAAAGCGTTATTATGTTTCCATGCACAATAACATGAAAAGTTTCCATACATAATATATATGTATCTATAGTTATTAGTATCGTAAATACCTAGCTAGGTTATTACACATGAAACGTTAATTTTCTTGGAAAACATAATTAAGTTTACATTAATAAAAGCATAAGAATTTTTCATATAAAGTAGTAGTTATAATTATGAGAATCTAGTCAATAATTAATAATTTTTATTACGATTATTGTAGCATGCAGTAAAGTAGACGCAGATAATGACTACAGCTCCAACGACAAAATACTAAATTTAGAAATACATATAGTTAATATTTAATCGATTTCAATTAAATATTGTCCATCGTCTTTTAAAATAAAAGAAGAAGTCAAGTTTTTAATTTCGATATCTGCTATGACGATTGATTTTCCAATTTCAAAATGCACATTTTCAAATAATTCATTCTCTGGATCACTGGCCGGTATATGGCAGGCGCGGCACACAAGGGACGGGCCTGCTGTCAATAACAACTGACAGCTGTCAAAATACAACACAACTTAAGTCCATTACTAAGTTGATTTTGACAAATGGTTCAGTCGTCATAACGTAACGTTTGTAAATGTAAATATTACCTCGTAACGTGTTTATGCCTCAAAGGAGAAAGCACAGATAACCCTATTGTATTTCAATTTTTACTGTTACATGGACTAAAACCATTAGTTCCGTTGAAATTATAAAGTTCCTCACTTTATAATTTCCTTGCAATTTTCTTAAATTAGGAATTTACGAAAGGTCTGCAATGCATGCCATTTACCGAAAAAATAATAAAAGAATTTATTTCATTGAATTAATTGAGGTCGTTATAAGCTTAATTAAGTGGATACATTGGATAAATTTTATATCGTACCTTTTAAACATTTCGAAATTTTCTTATCGGAGAACACCTGTAAGCGATGATTTTTAGAATATTTAAACGTAGAATTTAGAACCCTGTAATAGGCTAAACGATTACAATCACTCAGGAAAAGAAGATTGAGTAATTGAAAAGAATAATGAAAGAAAAATCAATTAAGTAAAAGTCGAATTAGTATTAGTAATGAGTTGCCTTGATTCTGATCAATGGTGAATTTACCTCTGGACGTTAATAGCATTAAGTACTAATTCACCTTAATAGAGATGGAAGCATCCGCTCGATAAATCTGGAACACAAGACAAGTTACAACGCTTTCTACTCGTATCGACGTAAACTCTATATTTACCGACGCTAGATAAAGGTGATTAAGCAACGAAATAACCGTGGAACAAGCAAGCATTAGGCCATTAGCGACGGGCAACACTAAACGGTTTCGTGGAACTAAAAGTGCGCCTTCAGTGGAACAAAATCGCTGTCATTAGGGTAACGAGGGACGCCTGCTGACGCAGCGGGAGTGGCCGACGTAACTCTTTAGCTTGCAAGACCTAATGAACCGGGATCTGGGATCCCGGGCCCGGGCCCGGGGCCCCGAGCATCCCCTGGCTTCGCCTCACTGGCCAAGCGCTGATTGCTGCTAGCCGAACTGTTTTTTCTAGAGGTAAAAAGCTAATTGTCCGTCTTGCTTTTTTAACGAAACTAGCCGCCTGGTTTGTTGAAAGACGAAGAAAATTGTGTGGTTTTGTAAGCGATAGTGCTGGTGTATTTATTTGTATCAAATACATAGATTTCGTTTAAATAATCATTCAATTTATATACTTTATTTCTTCAATCTAGAGTTTTGGCACGTGTTTATGACTGACATAAACACGTGCAAAACCATACATATTATATTACTTATACTTTTTGATTTTTTGATTGATTGCCTGTCTGTTTATCTACAATAACAAATTATATATATTAATAAATGTTGTAGTGGATTTTAACAAAATATTTGAAAACTTGCAAATAACACCCTTGTTGCCACTTGTGTATGTATAGCCAGAAGTGAATATGATTCTCACTCAAAACGACTCTTTGTCCGATCCGTCGCTAGGTCAATCCTGATTTGCGAGGAACATGATGTGTGTATGTTTATTTTTTGGTTTTGTTTGGTTTAAAAAAACGTCCCCACACTAGGATTTTCTCCTGTGTCGTGGGTGCGTTACAAACATACAAATTCACATACACATCGCACCCAGACCCGGAACAATAATCTGTAGATCACACAAAGACTTGTTCTGTGCGGGAATCGACCCCGGGACAAGTTGCACGGCAGCCAGTTGCCCAGCCACTGTGCCAACCGTGCAGTCAGTCGTACCTATGCGAAATTCACAAAATACATATTCCACTCACCCCAACTGGAGAAAGTATGAACGGTATTGAAAGAAAATGTGTAATAGTACCTACGTATCTATTTAACAGGTTCCTTCATAAACATAAAAATCTTTTTTAAACTTGGCTCATTAAGCTGCCGCGCCAGCACTAGAAATTCTCTTAGGGTGCTAATACGACTCCTCAATTTGCGCATCCCCGAACGCGAAAGAGCAACTTAAGCGACAAGTTTTCAACAAAATAAAACGATTTTTTCAACGTTGAGAGGTTACTTACTCGGATCTTCAAGAAAAGTAGCAACAATCGCTGATAATTCACTGCCAGTAAAACAAAAGACAGTAATAATAGCCACTACAATAGAAAGCACCGTTAAAAGTACTTAAAATCGTTAAATTTAGTCTTAATTTTACGAATTAGTCTTAATTTGAACAACAAATTTGTCAAATAAAAACTCCACG